TGTATGTGTATGTGTATGTATGTATATATATGTTTTCTTAAGTTTTCGCGGGTACTTACATGTATGGTATTCAGCTTTGTTCGGGTATTTTCCCACGTCATTGTAGTTGTGCTTTTAAAGTTGTAGCAATGTTTCGGCAGAATCTCATCTGCCAGACAAACACAATACAGAAGCCTGATGATGGCAGATGAGATTCTGCCGAAACGTTGCTACAACTTTAAAAGCACACACACACACACATATATGGAGTTTGCAGCAAAGCTGGGCTTTGTTTGTTTGTTGCAAACTTAATGCTGTAAGACTGAATAATTCTATATTTTTTTCAGCTGTTTTGACAATTCTATTAAAGTTCTTAGCACTTTAATAACTATGGGGGAACAATTTGCTGGTTTATTCCCCAATCTCTCAATTTGAGCGGTTAAATCCTGATATTTCACAATTTTTTTTCCCCAGGCCTTTTCAGCTATTCTACTTTTCTGTCAGTTGGCATTGTCGAATCTGTAAATAACCTGCTTTTCTTCAGCTACTGGGGATGTCCACTATATTGTATTATGGAGATGAATCTGTCTGACTTCAGAGGTCCCTCAGCATTTTTACATGGTTATTTTAGAGCACTGTTTTTTCTTCTTTGGAAAAGATGGCAAAATTCTATTTAAAAAAGTTTAAGGTTGAGAAGACGGTGCAATGGGGATGGTTGAGAAGAAAATATAGGGAAGGAGGAAGGAAGGGGAAAGGGAGAGAGGGGGGGGGAGGAAGGGGGAGGAGAAGGGAAGGGAGGGAGGGGGGGAGGAAGAAGGAAGGGAGGGAGGGAGGAGAAGGGAAAACAAAGGGGAAGGGAGAGAGAGACAGAGAGGAAGAAGGAAGGAAGTGTGAGAAAAGGACAACTATTTTAAAGCCAGCTTAGTCTGTATTTCATTAATAGGGCCTCTGATAGACGATATATTAACGTATTGCTTGAAATAATTTCCTAAGCATAGCAAAATATTTGCAATCTGCTGAAGTAGCACAAACTTGCAATATATATCTGCAAAGCAATCAGTTTTAAAGTTATTTTGGATCAGGAATATCCGGGACGCTGTCAGAAAAGGGTATAAAAGAGAGAGACGAATCTTCAGTCATGGCCACCGTTCTTTGCTGGACCTGAGCCCCGGTGCAGTGGTGAGAGTGCAGTACTGCAGGCTACTTCTGCAGCCTGCTGGCTACCTGCTATTTGGCAGACTGAATCTCACCAGGGTCAAGATTGGCTCAGCCTTCCGTCCTTCCAAGGTGGGTCAAATGAGGACCCAGATTGTTGGAGGCAAGACAGAGGCTGACTCTGGAAACTGCTTAGAGAGGACTGTAAAGCACTATAAAGGCGGTATATAAGTCTAAGTACTATTGCTATTTTCCTTCCTTCCTTCCTTCCTTCCTTCCTTCCTTCCTTCCTTCCTTCCTTCCTTCCTTCCTTCCTTCCTTCCTTCCTTCTCTATCCATCCATCCATCCATCCCAGCTCAAGGTTGACGCAGCCAACCATCCTTCTGAGGTGGGTAAAATGAGGACCCAGATTGTTGGGGGCAAGAGGCTGACTCTGTAAACCGCTTAGAGAGGGCTGGGAAGCACTGTGAAGTGGCATATAAGTCTAAGTGCTATTGTAATTATCCTTGGACCTCATTGCAATGGGTTATTGATGTAAGTAAGGCTGTATTGTGTTACTTCAATGGCTCTTCGTGGTCTAAATTGCTCATGAAATAAACCTTTGATTCTTGAAGTAAGAATTTGATTAGTTGTATTACTGTCTCCATGTTTTATTGGTCTCGTTTTATGACAGAAGGAAGGGGAAGGAGGGAGGGAGGGAGGGGAAAGAAGGAGGGGAGGGAAGAAGGAAGGGAAAGGAAAGGACAGAGGGAGATAAAGGACAGAGGAAGGGGGATTGTCCTACCCATCCTGCCCTAATCACCCAAAACGCAGCTGGGGCCAGGTGGAAGAACGATACAACCAGTTACTCTTACAGTTTATATTTCCACACAACAATTCCAACACACGTTGTGTGTGTCCCTATCTCAGGGTAAGCCTCTTCCATAGCTCTTCTTTGCTATTTCCCAGCAATTGTCAAAAGCCTTTACTTATTTGTTGCATGAAATAAAGTGATTTTTTAAAAAAAAATACAGAAAAGAGATCCTTCTATATTTTCCCAATCCTGACACCAAGGGGGCATGAGAGAAAATGCTCCTCTCAACCCCACAGCCTGAACCCACAACTCCCGAAGGACATTCTTCTACTGCCTTTCCCCCCATTTTTTTCCCCAACCCCCAACCCCCCCAATGTTGACGATGAGCAGTGTGAAGCCTCCTGATGCCGATTGAGCCAAACGAGCGTTGCAGCCATTAAAACATGGAAGCGAATGAGCAAAGCAGCCAGGGTTTGTTCATGTGTGGAAATTAGGAGTCATTTTTGCCAAGATGGGGAGGAGAGACAATTTCACAGATGTGTGTTCTGGAAAACACTGCCTGCTCTGTGGCGAGAGGGTCTAAGGCAGCTGTGCCTTGCTCGGGGGGGGGGGGGGACGACAACGGGCATTTGGCACGTTGCTCCAATGCTTCATTGAGGGTTTGCCAGGCCCAACGGTGAGATCTTGTTTCAAGAGAAGTTTTCTAACTCAGGGTTGGACTAGTTGAGCCTGGGTGCCACCCTGAGCTTGGTGGTTTTCCTGTAGACATTTCATGACCCAACTAGGGAACATCATCAGTGCTAGGAGGGAATGGAGATTGGGAGGAGGAGGAGTGGGGGGAGGAGGAAGAGGAAAAAGAAGAGAAGAGGACAAGGAAGAGGAGAAAGAAGCAGAGGAGAAGATGAAGAGGAGGAGTGGGAGAAGGAGGAGGAGGAGGAGGAGGAGGAGGAGGAAGAGGAGGAGAAAGAAGAGGAGGAGAAGGAAGAGGAAGAAAAGAGGAAGATGAAGATTGTGAGGTCCTGGATGATCTCTGAGCTTGGTGGTTTTCCTGCAGACGTTTCATGACCCAACTAGGGAACATTATCAGTGCTAGGAAGGAATGGCGATTGGGAGGAGGAGGAGGAGTGGGAAGAGGAGAAAGAGGAGGAGGAGGAGGAAGAGGAGGAGGAGGACGACGACGACTTGTGGGGTCCTTGTGCTCTTTGACCTTGGTTGTTTTCTTGGAGACATTTTATGACAGCAACCAGGCAACATCATCAATGCCAAAAGGAAACACAATTTGCGCTAATTTTATATACAGGTGGTCCACAACTTATGACCACAATTGGGCTGAAAATTTCCCTTGCTAAGCTGGATTCCACGTGACTCACCTAACCATTGCAGTGCTTGAGCAGGGGGTTGGACTAGAAGACCTCAAAGTCCTTTCCAACTCTTGTTATTCTGTTTTGCTTAACAGTCCGGTTCAACTCTCATAACAGCTACCAAGATCCGATAGGTAAAACTCTGGCTTTAATTCTGGAGTCAAAAGTCTAGGAGCAGCTTATAAAGAATTGTTAGCTTCGATGCTAACAGTTCATTTAGTGACCGTTTGGAGTTACAGTGGCACTGAAAAAAGTGACATGACCATTTTTCACACTTATGACTGTTGCAGCGTCCCCATGGTCACTTGATCAAAATTTGGACGCTTGGCAACTGGTTCATATTTATGATGGTTGCAATGTCCCAAGTTTAAGTGATCACCATTGCAACAAAGCCAGATTCACTTAACAACTGCAGTTATTCGCTTAATAACTATGGCAAGGAAGGTCATAAAATGGGGCAAAACTCACAACACACGTCTCAACTTAACAAGAGAAATTTTGGGCTCAGCTATGGTCTCCTCATAGTATCTTCCTTACTGATTTTGAGATCTGAGAGGATTTTACTGATTTGTGTCGAGTTCTAGCACATACCTGGGGATGATCCATTGAAGGTCATACTGCTGGTCAGTTTCTGGATGTTTTCTAAACATGCTTCTTGTTCCTTCTTGATGAAACAATCAGAATGCATGGATGCAGCCTGCGGGAAAGCAGAAAACAGGCCCACAGTGAGAACCCCTGACTGCAGGCCATAGGGGGAAAATGGAGGGTCAGTGGCTGATTAGCTACCTACATACCTGTCTATTATCATCTCTTTCTGTTTATCTATCTACCATCTTTCTCTCTCTCAGACTATGTCTTTTTCTCTCTCTGTCTTAGCAATCTTATCTATCTATCTACCTACCTATCTATCTACCTATTATCCATCCATCCAACCATCCTCTGCCTGCCTGCCTACCTACTATCTATCTATCTATCTATCTATCTATCTATCTATCTATCTATCTATCTATCTATCTAT